AGGTGGAGGAGAAACGTTGCTGCTGCTGCTGCTGCTCACAACATCAGCGGAGTCCACTGTGTTGGACAAAATGAACTCGAGGTCCAGGAACTTGGCCAGTTCGTCGTCCTCTCTGGGCGGGAGGGCTGGAGCCTGCACGATGCTGAACTCCACCTCAATCAGCGGGTTGTCGCCGCCACCTGCTGCGCTGCTGCTGCGCGTACACGCGCCAGCCTTGCACAGCTGCACATTCAGGGGAGAGAAAAAAAAACAACTGACGTGAGCTGATGGTGATCTGCCAGCAGGAAACACAGGTTGCCAAATATTCAGAAAAGAAAAATCAGAAAAGATGTAACGGCGTGTACTTACGTTGTCAAAATGCTTGTCTTCCGAAGTTTGGACACTTGGAAACGCGGAGACTGCGGGCATCACAGCTTCAACCACAGCCATGTTGACCGCTCTGGTCTTTGAGTTCGAGTCAGGAGCAGAGATTGAACACGAACTATGAATTAATGTCCATAAAGTTCTGGCTCTGCGTAAAACTGCTGACAGTTGATGGAGGGTCCAGGACTCAGGATGTGAGGGACGACAGAGGGGACGGAGCCTCTTATAGCTGCTGTCTTCCAACACCGGGAGGTGTGGCTTCAACTCCGCCTCCGACCAACACCAACACACACACCAGATGTTCTTGACGTGACGTTTCCTGACATCAACCCAAAATCACTTCAGGTCCCAACCCTAAAATCATCAGAACTCCAATCCCGTTCCAAGAGATTCAGCCATAAATGGAACCATCACCGGTGGAGACTCAGGTGATGTAAACAAAACAAACACAAAACACCGCAACACAGTCAAACATTAAACTGTTGTTATTTATTTATTTATTTATTTATTTATTTATTTATTTATTCATCCATTATTTTTGATTTATTTTTTTAATTGCACTGCAATGTTTTTGTGCTGTCACAACTTTTCCCTTGAGGTAGGCATAGGGGGCGACACTACACCCGCGGGGCGCACTACAGATCCGTGCGTAAAAACAAATGTAAAAATGATTGAACACACACAGACACACACACGCCACGTCAGAAATGCGTACCGAGTTAATCCCGTCTGTGTTTAAGACTAACGAACACAAAACGCTGTGAAAAGGCGCCGTCGTTCTCCCGGGCCCATCGATACAACCTGTTAATCTGGATGTAAACAAAGGGTTTGCGCACGCGCGCGCACACCATCAGCCACCACTGTATCATGCCCTGCAGTCATTTCTATGATAATGTCCACTGGTCTCGATCTCTGACATTAACAACAGTGATGTATTTGTTTGTTTGTTTATTTTTGTTATTCATGTGTGTTCGGAGGGGGGGGGGACTGGGGGGTGGGGGGTTAGGAAGAGCTAAAGTAAAGCACTTTGGTCATAACACAAAATATTTACAGGATATGGAATAAATCTGGTTAAAATTGTGGGGGAAAAAAATTAAAAATTAAACAAGTCTTCAGTTCATTTAGATAGAAAATTATACAAAATAAAAAAAATCATACTGTACAAACGCGTTAGACGAGCTGCAATCAAGTACTTTTGTTACGACACAAAAGATTTATGTTGAGATGGCACACAAATAAAAAAGAAAAAAGAACTTTAGTCCTTCAAAGGTCGTGAAAAGGTTAGAAAAATACAATTGATTTCACTTTAAAAATGTGTGGCTAAAAATAGACACATTTTAATTAAAAAAAAGACAAAACAGTAATCATATACTGTATAGAAAATGTTTTTTTTTTAGTACCGCCACAGTCTCTTACTACAGCTGGGTCAGTACCAGTTCAGCAGTGGCTAAAAGTGGTTTCACATTGGTGTCATTATCATTAGCATTTCAAAGACGGTCAGTATTTATTGGAGCAGGAGAGCCTGGAGGGAGACGTGTTCCTCCGTGACTCCTCTCACCAAAACTGACAGAAGTCCAGGCTTCCAGACCAACGGAGGAAGAGACTTTAACTCTGGCAGAAACCTCAGAAATAAATAATAATAATAATAGATAAATAAAATAATACTATATATATATATAATATAAACTGAATGTAAACTACAGAAAAAGCCGCAACTAAAGGGCAATAACTAAAATAAAAATATACAGATGGTTATAAAATCTGTAATATAAACAAAAACATTTGAAGTTGATGACAGTATAATGTACTTCTCTGCTGCAGGGCCGTAACAGATCAGAGCCCAGGGTTTGGACACTCCAGTCTATGCTAAAAGCATTTTTACAGTCAGCACCGTTAGACCCCACCACTCCAACAATTCAAATACTCTTTTTTTTTTATCATTATCTTGACTTCTGTTCTGAGAAATTGGAGCCCTCTGGGTTTGAGTAGTCCTGTCAAATCACTATGGTTCATGGCATGCTTTTATTTCTTTTCTATTTGTGTCCCACAAGCTGTGATGACTCTTCATAATGATCATTTAGCAACAACAAATTCTAGTAGTAGTAGTATTTTTTTTTAAAGTCTTTCATTCTTTTCTGCAGACAAAATAACTTTATCATCCAAGTTAGCATAATCCCAGCAGGTCCCTGCATGAGCCCACGTCTCATTAGATTAGATTCGATGAGATTAACCCGTTTTTATTTGCTTTTGACTCCACAAACTCATTATCTCGTCTCTCTCCTCCTGCTGCTGCAGGTGTTGTGAGAGGCAGCGTCCTGCAGATCTCTCCTTTTATACTGCGTTATTTTTAACCGGCCGCGCTAACGCAGAAACCACTTCCGTTTCTGTCCCAGGGCCAAATGGAAATGGACTCTGTTTCCTGAGGAAAAGTAGACGCCACTGGCTTCCTCTACTTTCACTCTCCCGTCACCTTCAGCTGCAACAGGCGCACAAAGCCGGGCAGCACCACCCACCTCCGCCTGACTTACTGTACTGTAATGATTTAAACTGAATTGATATGGAAACCTGTTCCACGAGTTTGTGAAAGTAAAAGCCTCGAGAACAGATCATGACAGTCCAACAAAGATGTCTCTTGACAATGGAATGTCAGTGTAAGACAGTCATTTTTTGGCTATTTTTTCCCCTTTCTTTTTAATTATTTAAAGCAATTTTAATATGTTTCATTGTTTTGTATGGATTAAATTTAGCTGCATCTGGTCGGTCCTTCTATAAACAAAGATGTTATTTATTTAAATGTATTTATTTGATTTATTTAGCTACATCCTAACTTGACCAAACTAATTTGTCATAGTGTTCATGATTTGGAGTATTTTTCAGTAAAATTTCATGCTTTTTCTCACATTTAAATAATGTGGACTAAATATGAATATCGTTTAAACCAATTTTTAAGAGGACTTTTTTTAGATAACAGCCAATTAACATAAATTTAACGAATGTCTAAAAAAAAGTGTTTTTTTTTTTTTCAGTAGTCAGCAAGACAACATTTCTAAATGTGTCCGTCTCGTGCACTGATGTCAATCATCTGTGTGTGAGTTTCACACACACTCAAACTCTGTGAGACCAGACATATTTTGGTAACTGTTTACAATCACGCAGCCAGATAAAGGGACAATGCTCAGAAAAGTGGACATGTTACAAGAAGAAGGGGTTTTAAACAAACTCCTGATGGAGATAAGAGTCTCTGCTGTTTACAGAGGAAATTTCTGAGTGCATGTCGGGTGAAGATGCTGCCATGCTGCTCTGTCTGTCTGCCCGCTCCACTGTAATCTGGAGTGATTGTGTTTAGAAAACACTGGAGCTGGGAGACTTCCTCCCTCTCAGAAAAGAGAGTGACAAAAGGAGAAACTGGAGCCCGGGGTGACTCTTTATCTGCGTCTGTCTCCGTCCTCTTTTTTACATGACCTGACTTTGATGACGCCTGTGATTGAACGAGATAAGGGACTGGGTTTTTGCTCTCAGAGGAAACTGGCAGCGTGTTTGTAATGCATTTTTGAAATTGTGCACCAACTAGTTGGTTAACTGTTACAGAAGTGACTCTGAATGTACTTGGTCTATGTTTGTAACCACACTTCACACGCAGTTGACGTTGTGAGCCAAACAGGATAAACAGTTATTGAACCATCTGGTGCTTTAACCAGAAATATTGACTTTAAACAGACTTTAAAATGAGAATATTGTGACAAATAATAACAACTAGGCGTCTGACTTCAAAACTATATGAGTAGGGTTTTGGGGTTGATAAAATGATACTGCTGGTCCCTCCCCCACTCTGAGACGACAGGCCGACCCCATCATCGTTCAGCACAGTCAGACACCCATTCTCAGAAACATCTGTCTAAGTCTAAATCTAAACTGCAGATGCTCTGTTTCACTGTACTCCTGTCCAATCAGTAACTCCGAACAACAGAGCGGATGCCACACTGCACCACCGCTCCACCCCCTGTCCTTTACCACCAACATGCACAGCAATTATCCTCATCACCCACAAAGTAAGGGGAAACCCATTTGTTATCTTGGATAAATACGCCGCCATGCATGGCATGAAAAAGCAACAAAGTGATTAGGGAGGAGGGAAAAAAAAGAAGAAAGAAACAAAGTACAACGGCGGCGAGGAGCCCACCTTCCATAAAGATATCAAAGGGAGGAGAACAAACGCAGACCCACTGAGCAGAGGACCATGGGAAAGAAATAGAATCAGCAATAACATTTTGGCCAATCAGTAATTCTGCTCTTCCTGAGGCCAGAGGTTTGACGCCTGTTGGGTCAAAGAGTTGTTGACTGGACAACAACTGATTTTGAAAGATTATTTAACAACTCCTTGAAAACGTCTTTGCAGTTTACACAGTATTTTTTTTAAAAGCTTTACAGTTTTTGTTTGTTTTTCCTACTGGTAACATCAAGATTTGGTTCGTAGCAATTTTATGGCTCAGACTTTATGGCAATTATTTTATTTATATTTAGCTTTTTGGTCAGTAATCACTAACAAGTACTTCTGTGTCCCTTTGTGTAACTTTAATTTATTGGTTTAGTAACTCTTAAATATTTGATTAACCTTCAGCTGCATTGTGACTAACTACAGACTCATTTCTAATTATAGTCCCATGTAATTATACCAGGAGGAGCAGTTGGCCCTTCAGCTTTGCATTGTTGAGTCAGACCAACCTTGATAAAACTTGGTTACCCTCACCTAAACGGTTGATGATGCAAACACCGCGATTAATTAGCTTTATGAAAAGTCACCTGCTGACAAAGTTTACCTCCAACAGTTCCAAGTGGTTTAACCTTTACACAGCTAAGCTCATGTTGAGTAAATGGTTTAGCTGCACTTAGCACCGATAAAGCATTTAGCAGTTAGCCGCCAGGCTAATGAGATCAGGTCGACACACACTTAACAGGACGTGGGCTGATTAATGTATCTCCGGTGTGTGTGATCAGGATCAGGGGGGTAATTAGGGGCAGCAACAGTGATTACAACCCCCTGAGCAGAGGAGTAACCCCGGAGGCTTGTGGACATACATTGACCTTGGCTTATTTTTCTGACATTTTGAGATACGTCAGAGCTGGAGGTTTGTTTTAAATCTAATCAAACACAAATTGTCTGAACAAACCCCGTAAGGATTAAATTTTTTTTTTTTTGAGAAGGAATTTAGCTCAGTGTCATGTTTCCAGTCATTTGCCCCCAGGACAAAATAAAGAATGTATCCACTGTCACTGCATAGTTGGTGTTCAAGTTCACGTGGACTTGGATGAAGGCCAGAGCTGGGATATCAGGGAATACAATAGGCCTCGGATTATGCTTTTCGTATAGAAATGTTGATTAAAATCCGAGGACCTTTTGTTTTCTGTATGTGTGGATCTATATTTATCCATGTCCAACTTCAAGTCACTGAAAGTTGAGTCTTAGACAATAAAACGCGTCCTTGTTATCCTCTAAGTTAACTGGGAAAAGGTCTAAGGGTCTAAGTTCTTCAGTCTCAATTTCAACAGTTTTTTTTCTCTATTTTTCCTTGTTTGCCTTTAGCAGCAGCAGCAGCTGAGAGTCTGTCTATTTCTAGCTGCTAGATCTCTCTGTCCCTGAAGGAACATTTACCTGTTCCACCTGTTGGGATTTCTTTTGTGTTTATATGCGTGCGTGCCTCATGTTTCTCATGTTATGAATCACAAACATCGACGACATTCAGCGTCAGAGCATTTTTAGCAATTACTGTTAAACCAGAACATGGAAAATGTGCGCAATAAATATATCGCTTAGTCAAAAAGAAAGCCCAGGAACTATGGAGGTGCGGGCTGCACTGGGTACCGTTCTGAATCCTTGAATTTAGTTTAATTGTAATATACAACACAGTTTAGGAAGAAAATATTTTATGTAACTGTCGTCCCCGACAAATATGGTAAAACAGTGAGAACTGGTCTATAGTTGAGCTGAACAATATTTGTAGGTGTATTATTCGAAGAACCAGAAGATTATGCCGTAACACCATGATTTGGATTTTTTTTTTTTAACTTTTTGGCAAAAAACATGACTGATAAGAAAAATTAGTCCACAGGGAATTTTGGACTTTTTTTTTGAGAATTCTTTCCGTCAGGTGTCGTTTTGATTCTCTTTGTCTGTTAATGCACTGGGACTTGCTCCCATGCTGCTGGAGGGCTGCAAACAGACCCTCTCTTTTTTTCCCACAGTGATGTGGTTTTTCTGCCAGTTTCACTCTACATTAATTGTGTGACGTGATGGCTCATGCACAGCATTACTGCCTTCTAGACAAAAAAAGAACGGTGCTTGACATACAAAAAAGTAGTAAAGGATTTGTCAAAAAACCTGGTTAGAAACTTTCAGGATATTTTATATGACTGAATGAGTCATCAAACTGGTTTCCTTCACATTTTGTCAGCCCACAGTCAAACAGCAAAAATTGCCCCTGGCTTTGAAATAAAGGGTAGCGGGGGTGTCAAATAGCATCGATTAGCATCACAGCAGAGAGTCACTGGAAGTCAAGTGAAACCATTCATTTTCTTAAAAAACTACTTCTAACCAGAACCTGTTGATGTCAGGTATTTCAGGAACATCAACTTCAAAATGACACTGAAATTCCTGCCAAATATAGTATTTGCTATTAGTTACTCTGAAATCAGATATGAGACAGAATAAACAATAATAACCAAGAATCTGATTGTTTTTACTGTTCATTAAATTTGATTTTATGTTAGACAAGTTTTAATGTTGGTGAACGGATGTCAGTACCCAACCATTTGCCCAATGTTAGCTGGGATTGGCTGCAGCCGCCCTTTGAGCATCAACATGTTGAGGTGGCCAAGACATATTGCTCAATGCACATACTGTATGGTACGTAAATATGTTTTTCAAAACATGATAATACAACTTTAGAGGTTGCAGTTTTCCAACACTAGACTAACTGCAGTCAATGAGACCTGACACAGCTGTTCATTTTATAATGTGTGGCCAAAAAAAATTGTCACCTGATATCATTACAAGTGTGGTTGTGTTTAAAAGAAAACGCCTGACAATAGAGGTGTCATTATAAGGTAATGAGAGAAACACTGTGTACTGTGTACACAGGGCGATGGTTTGGGGTTGCTGTTGCCAGCTTGAATGTTCAGCGACAATCCTCACTGTACTGTACTCATGGGCAATAAGCAATAGCTCTTCATCCATCTTGGCTGCTCCATTTAGCTCGTCTTTCAGTGACAGAGCTGTGTTACCGTCTCAACCGCTGCTGATACTCAAGAGGGACGGGTAACAAAAGGGACGGAATCACTTCCATTGTCTAGGTTTTGTACCAGGCATAAGAATAACGTACAATGCTTGACATTTTCTGTTATTATTTGCCGTAGCACAGTGTTCATTTCTGCATGTTTGCGTGTCCTGTTACGTATGGCCTTTCTAGATGTACAAGCACCTGGGCAGCAGTTCCATCATTAAGACAAAGAATGAAAAGCATTTGGTAACACAGCTGTAGGAGACACAGTGATTCACTTAGGAAGTCAGGCCTGTGTTTTTCAAACTGACAGGTTTAGCATAATCATTAAGGACAAATGCAACGCCAAGTGACGTAGCAAAAAAAACACACAAAAAAAACTCCTCTATGCTTCTTGCCATAGGCTGCGGCAGCATAACATGGGTGAGTGAGAGGCCAAGAGGTGATGTATTTAAACTAACATGCTGTGTATTCTGTGTCAATACTATGTCCCGGGTAAGGAGTTCACTTCCCCAAAGGGGGGGCCACCCAAGCAGCTCATAAATCTCTGTGCAGAGAGTTCTGTCACTGAAATACAAAGGGAAGGACGGCTGATGATTTCTATTGCCTATCAAAGTGGTGGGATAGAAGCTTCCGGACCACAGACTATCTTGGAGCATATTCAGTATAGTATTAGTATAGTATTAGGTAGTTGGCCTGTTCTTAGAGGGTAAATATACTG